AGACGAGAGGGTGGAGGTGGGAGGGGAGAGGGTGGGGGTGGGAGAGGAGAGGGTGGAGGTGGGAGAGGAGAGGGTGGAGTGGGAGAGGAGAGGGTGGGGGTGGGAGAGGAGAGGGTGGGAGTGGGAGGGGAGAGGGTGGAGGTGGGAGAGGAGAGGGTGGAGGTGGGAGAGGAGAGGGTGGAGGTGGGAGGGGAGAGGGTGGAGGTGGGAGAGGAGAGGGTGGAGGTGGGAGGGGAGAGGGTGGGGGTGGGAGAGGAGAGGGTGGAGGTGGGAGAGGAGAGGGTGGAGGTGGGAGGGGAGAGGGTGGGGGTGGGAGAGGAGAGGGTGGGAGGGGAGAGGGTGGAGGTGGGAGAGGAGAGGGAGGGTGGAGGTGGAAGGGGAGAGGGTGGGGGTGGGAGAGGAGAGGGTGGAGGTGGGAGAGGAGAGGGTGGGGGTGGGAGGGGAGAGGGTGGAGGTGGGAGAGGAGAGGGAGGGTGGAGGTGGAAGGGGAGAAGGTGGGGGTGGGAGAGGAGAGGGTGGAGGTGGGAGAGGAGAGGGTGGGGGTGGGAGGGGAGAGGGTGGAGGTGGGAGAGGAGAGGGAGGGTGGAGGTGGAAGGGGAGAAGGTGGGGGTGGCGCACGACTACGCCACTTAAAGGGAAAGTAACATAGAGTAGTGTGACTCTCCCTCCCTGTTAGTGGCACCTGGGTAGTATTGACCCCTCAGAGGTGGGTAGTGGTGACCTCTCAGAGGCGGGTAGTGGTGAACCCTCAGAGGTGGGTAGTGGTGACCCCTCAGAGGTGGGGTAGTGGTGACCCCTCAGAGGCGGGTAGTGGTGACCCCTCAGAGGTGGGGTAGTGGTGACCCCTCAGAGGTGGGTAGTGTTGACCCCTCAGAGGTGGGGTAGTGGTGACCCCTCAGAGGTGGGTAGTGTTGACCCCTCAGAGGTGGGTAGTGTTGACCCCTCAGAGGTGGGGTAGTGGTGACCCCTCAGAGGTGGGTAATGTTGACCCCTCAGAGGTGGGGTAGTATTGACCCCTCAGAGGTGGGTAGTGGTGACCCCTCAGAGGCGGGTAGTATTGACCCCTCAGAGGCGGGTAGTATTGACCCCTCAGAGGCGGGTAGTATTGACCCCTCAGAGGCGGGTAGTATTGACCCCTCAGAGGCGGGTAGTATTGACCCCTCAGAGGTGGGTAGTGTTGACCCCTCAGAGGTGGGTAGTATTGACCCCTCAGAGGCGGGTAGTATTGACCCCTCAGAGGCGGGTAGTATTGACCCTCAGAGGCGGGTAGTATTGACCCCTCAGAGGCGGGTAGTATTGACCCCTCAGAGGCGGGTAGTATTGACCCCTCAGAGGTGGGTAGTGTTGACCCCTCAGAGGTGGGTAGTATTGACCCCTCAGAGGCGGGTAGTATTGACCCCTCAGAGGTGGGTAGTGTTGACCCCTCAGAGGCGGGTAGTATTGACCCCTCAGAGGCGGGTAGTATTGATCCCTCAGAGGCGGGTAGTATTGACCCCTCAGAGGCGGGTAGTATTGACCCCTCAGAGGCGGGTAATATTGACCCCTCAGAGGCGGGTAGTATTGACCCCTCAGAGGTGGGTAGTGTTGACCCCTCAGAGGTGGGTAGTATTGACCCCTCAGAGGCGGGTAGTATTGACCCCTCAGAGGCGGGTAGTATTGACCCCTCAGAGGCGGGTAGTATTGACCCCTCAGAGGTGGGTAGTATTGACCCCTCAGAGGTGGGTAGTGGTGACCCCTCAGAGGTGGGGTAGTGGTGACCCCTCAGAGGTGGGTAGTGGTGACCCCTCAGAGGTGGGTAGTGGTGACCCCTCAGAGGTGGGTAGTGGTGACCCCTCAGAGGTGGGTAGTGGTGACCCCTCAGAGGTGGGTAGTGTTGACCCCTCAGAGGCGGGTAGTATTGACCCCTCAGAGGTGGGTAGTGTTGACCCCTCAGAGGTGGGTAGTGTTGACCCCTCAGAGGTGGGTAGTGGTGACCCCTCAGAGGTGGGTAGTGTTGACCCCTCAGAGGTGGGTAGTGGTGACCCCTCAGAGGCGGGTAGTGTTGACCCCTCAGAGGCGGGTAGTGGTGACCCCTCAGAGGTGGGTAGTGGTGACCCCTCAGAGGTGGGTAGTGGTGACCCCTCAGAGGTGGGTAGTGGTGACCCCTCAGAGGTGGGTAGTGGTGACCCCTCAGTGGTGTGCTTAATGACGGGGTTTCGAGTCAAACTTATTAATGCATACACAGGACCTGCATACACAGGACCTACGTACACAGGACCTGCATACACAGGACCTGCATACACAGGACCTGCATACACAGGACCTGCATACACAGGACCTACATACACAGGACCTGCATACACAGGACCTGCATACACAGGACCTGCATACACAGGACCTGCATACACAGGACCTACATACACAGGACCTGCATACACAGGACCTACGTACACAGGACCTGCATACACAGGACCTGCATACACAGGACCTGCATACACAGGACCTGCATACACAGGACCTGCATACACAGGACCTACATACACAGGACCTGCATACACAGGACCTGCATACACAGGACCTGCATACACAGGACCTGCATACACAGGACCTACATACACAGGACCTGCATACACAGGACCTACGTACACAGGACCTGCATACACAGGACCTGCATACACAGGACCTGCATACACAGGACCTGCATACACAGGACCTGCATACACAGGACCTGCATACACAGGACCTGCATACACAGGACCTGCATACACAGGACCTGCATACACAGGACCTACACAGCATACACAGGACCTGCATACACAGGACCTGCATACACAGGACCTGCATACACAGGACCTGCATACACAGGACCTGCATACACAGGACCTGCATACACAGGACCTACATACACAGGACCTGCATACACAGGACCTGCATACACAGGACCTGCATACACAGGACCTGCATACACAGGACCTGCATACACAGGACCTGCATACACAGGACCTGCATACACAGGACCTGCATACACAGGACCTGCATACACAGGACCTGCATACACAGGACCTGCATACACAGGACCTGCATACACAGGACCTGCATACACAGGACCTGCATACACAGGACCTACATACACAGGACCTGCATACACAGGACCTGCATACACAGGACCTGCATACACAGGACCTGCATACACAGGACCTGCATACACAGGACCTGCATACACAGGACCTACATACACAGGACCTGCATACACAGGACCTGCATACACAGGACCTGCATACACAGGACCTGGACCTGCATACACAGGACCTGCATACACAGGACCTATACACAGGACCTGCACCTGCATACACAGGACCTGCATACACAGGACCTGCATACACAGGACCTGCATACACAGGACCTGCATACACAGGACCTGCATACACAGGACCTACATACACAGGACCTGCATACACAGGACCTGCATACACAGGACCTGCATACACAGGACCTGCATACACAGGACCTGCATACACAGGACCTGCATACATACACAGGACCTGCATACACAGGACCTGCATACACAGGACCTACATACACAGGACCTGCATACACAGGACCTACGTACACAGGACCTGCATACACAGGACCTACGTACACAGGACCTGCATACACAGGACCTGCATACACAGGACCTGCATACACAGGACCTGCATACACAGGACCTGCATACACAGGACCTACATACACAGGACCTGCATACACAGGACCTGCATACACAGGACCTACATACACAGGACCTGCATACACAGGACCTACATACACAGGACCTGCATACACAGGACCTGCATACACAGGACCTGCATACACAGGACCTGCATACACAGGACCTACATACACAGGACCTGCATACACAGGACCTACATACACAGGACCTGCATACACAGGACCTACGTACACAGGACCTGCATACACAGGACCTGCATACACAGGACCTGCATACACAGGACCTGCATACACAGGACCTGCATACACAGGACCTGCATACACAGGACCTGCATACACAGGACCTGCATACACAGGACCTGCATACACAGGACCTGCATACACAGGACCTGCATACACAGGACCTGCATACACAGGACCTGCATACACAGGACCTGCATACACAGGACCTGCATACACAGGACCTGCATACACAGGACCTGCATACACAGGACCTGCATACACAGGACCTGCATACACAGGACCTGCATACACAGGACCTGCATACACAGGACCTACATACACAGGACCTGCATACACAGGACCTGCATACACAGGACCTGCATACACAGGACCTGCATACACAGGACCTGCATACACAGGACCTGCATACACAGGACCTGCATACACAGGACCTACATACACAGGACCTGCATACACAGGACCTGCATACACAGGACCTGCATACACAGGACCTGCATACACAGGACCTGCATACACAGGACCTGCGTACACAGGACCTGCATACACAGGACCTGCATACACAGGATCTATGATTTTATGCCCTTAAAGCTTCAGATAATAACTGGCCGCTCTTGCATATATAAGCGCATATATAAGCGCATATATAAGCGCATATATAAGCGCATATATAAGCGCATATATGAGCGCATATATGACCTTATATTCCTATAAAATACATATTTCAGATCAAGCGAGATTACATAATATAAAAGTGCCGAGCATAACTTTGCTTGCAGGAAATCAGTTTTTATAGCGTCTATAAAGGGCATGGAACGGCTAATGGCTCCCGTAGGCCTCAATCCTACCATTAACCACTTTAACTACCGCCCATTAAATTCTTAAATACCGCCACGAGGGGTCACCTCTCTTTACCAAGAGGTATTTTGGATGTCTCGGTTATGTCCCCTCCGAACCTCCTTTCATCAAGTTAGGTTTAGGACTCCGAGTGTCTCCTGATGGTCCGGCTCTCTCATCTCCAGCAACTGGTCGGGGTGATGATCCGAACATCCAAGATACTAACTTCATTGGTGTTATCTGCGGTGATACATTGGTGTTATTTTCGGTGATATATTGGTGTTATTCCTAGTGATAGCCCTGGTGTTATCCTCGGTGATAGCCATTGTGTTATCCTCGGTGATAGCCATTGTGTTATCCTCGGTGATAGCCATTGTGTTATCTCCGGTGAAAGCCATGGTGTTATCCTCGGTGATAGCCCTGGTGTTATCCCCGGTGATAGCCATTGTGTTATCCCCGGTGAAAGCCATGGTGTAATCCCCAGTGATAGCCATAGTGTTATCCCCAGTGATAGCCATGGTGTTATTCCCAGTGATAGCCATGGTGTTATCCCCAGTGATAGCCATGGTGTTATCCCCGGCGATAGCCATGGTGTTATTCCCAGTGATAGCCATGGTGTTATTCCCAGTGATAGCCATGGTGTTATTCACAGTGATAGCCCTGGTGTTATCCTCGGTGATAGCCATGGTGATATCACCAGTGATAGCCTTCGGGGCCATGTAAACTCTCAGGCCGTTTTCCCTTTATGGCGCTGTAAACCTTTCTCGTTATCTATTGGTTCTTCGGCCTACTTTTCCTTGCTCCGGTTATCATGACCTTGCACTAGTTTGGGGTTGAAGTCTAGTAGCCACTTGTACGGCCACTCCTGCAATGTATCGAGACCTCCTGGGAACAATTGGGTTCACAATGACCTTTTCAAGGGTCACAATGACCTCTTCAAGGGTCACAATGACCTCTTCAAGGGTCACAATGACCTCTTCAAGGGCCACAATGACCTCTTCAAGGGTCACAATGACCTCTTCAAGGGCCACAATGACCTCTTCAAGGGCCATAATGACCTCTTCAAGAGTCACAATGACCTCTTCAAGGGTCACAATGACCTCTTCAAGGGTCACAATGACCTCTTCAAGAGTCACAATGACCTCTTCAAGAGTCACAATGACCTCTTCAAGGGTCACAATGACCTCTTCAAGAGTCACAATGACCTCTTCAAGAGTCACAATGACCTCTTCAAGGGTCACAATGTCCTCTTCATGAGTCACAATGACCTCTTCAAGGGCCACAATGACCTCTTCAAGGGTCGTAATGACCTCTTCAAGAGTCACAATGACCTCTTCAAGAGTCACAATGACCTCTTCAAGGGTCACAATGACCTCTTCAAGGGTCACAATGACCTCTTCAAGGGTCACAATGACCTCTTCAAGAGTCACAATGACCTCTTCAAGGGCCACAATGACCCCTTCAAGGGCCACAATGACCTCTTCAAGAGTCACAATGACCTCTTCAAGGGTCACAATGACCTCTTCAAGAGTCACAATGACCTCTTCAAGAGTCACAATGACCTCTTCAAGGGTCACAATGACCTCTTCAAGGGTCACAATGACCTCTTCAAGGGTCACAATGACCTCTTCAAGGGTCACAATGACCTCTTCAAGGGTCACAATGACCTCTTCAAGGGCCACAATGACCTCTTCAAGAGTCACAATGACCTCTTCAAGAGTCACAATGACCTCTTCAAGGGTCACAATGACCTCTTCAAGAGTCACAATGACCTCTTCAAGAGTCACAATGACCCCTGAGCGAATCGTTTCGTTAAACACCTCGATAGTTCCGTGATCTGACCTGCGTTGTCTCTAGTTACACAGGTAATCCCCAGGCACTGTTAAAGCTGTGCCAATTGCTCTTGCCTGGTGGTGTGACACGGTGTCCAGCCCGTCCTGCCCGTCCGGCCTGTCCTGCCCGTCCTGCCCGTCCGGCCCGTCCTGCCCGTCCTGCCCGTCCGGCCCGTCCGGCCCGTCCTGCCCGTCCTGCCCGTCCGGCCCGTCCTGCCCGTCCAGCCCGTCCGGCCCGTCCTGCCCGTCCTGCCCGTCCTGCCCGTCCGGCCCGTCCTGCCCGTCCGGCCCGTCCTGCCCGTCCGGCCCGTCCTGCCCGTCCTGCCCGTCCGGCCCGTCCGGCCCGTCCTGCCCGTCCGGCCCGTCCGGCCCGTCCGGCCCGTCCGGCCCGTCCGGCCCGTCCGGCCCGTCCGGCCCGTCCGGCCCGTCCTGCCCGTCCTGCCCGTCCGGCCCGTCCGGCCCGTCCGGCCCGTCCTGCCCGTCCGGCCCGTCCGGCCCGTCCGGCCCGTCCGGCCCGTCCGGCCCGTCCTGCCCGTCTACTAGCCTGCAATCTGACCGACCGTCACTTTTCTGTCCGATATTCGTTATAGTGTTAATAAATTCCAATAGCTTTGGCAGGCGGGGTCCTCTCGACGTCCCTGGAGTTGCATTGGTGCTTCGTTGCCCAGTTTATTCTTGGTTTGTGATCGTCCTAGTTGTTCTTTCTAGCATGTTGCATGGTATTGTGTTGGGGGGCCACTGATACTGAAGCTTTTCATCGTAGATCGATTTTCCATATTCACCATTTCTTAAAATTGTTACGAATTAATTGGTTTAGGAGGAAAGATTAATATAATTAAAATGTTAATTATATTTCTAGAGAAGCCGAGTCCCGATAAAATATATTTTGTTGTACTTGAATAATAATTTACTCCTATATTGATGTGTGGCTGGAGGCTTGTGTGGAGGAGAGACAGAAAGTGTTGTCCCCTAGTGTTGCCGGGGTGTGGTAAGGAGAGACAGAAAGTGTTGTCCCCTAGTGTTGCCGGGGTGTGGGCAGGAGAGCTTGTGTGTGTGTGTGTGTGTGTAATTATCTAAGTGTAATTACCTAAGTGTAGTTACAGGATGAGAGCTTCGCTCGTGGTGCCCCGTCTTCCCAGCACTCTTTGTCATATAACGCTTTGAAACTACTGACGGTCTTGGCCTCCACCACCTTCTCACTTAACTTGTTCCAACCGTCTACCACTCTGTTTGCGAACAGTTTGTGTGTGTGTGTGTGTGTGTGTGTGTGTGTGTGTGTGTGTGTGTGTGTGTGTGTGTGTGTGCGTCAGTTCCAGTCATTGGTGTTCAGTAGTGGTGCAGTGTTCAGTAGTGTGCAGCAAAGTTCAGTAGTGATGCAGTAGTTCAGTAGAGATCCAGGTTAGTAGTGATGAGCAGTTCAGTAGTACAGTGTTACGCAGTTAAGTTCAGTAGTGATGCAGCAAAGTTCAGTAGTGATGCAGTAAGTTCAGTAGAGATCCAGCTAAGTTCAGTAGTGATGCAGCAAAGTTCAGTCGTGAAAAAAAAATCATCGTACAGTGAACTTACGAGGTCTTCTGTGGACCACATCGTATGTCACACTTCCTAATGCACTTAATTAAATTATTACCAATTTCCCTTTGATGGCTTCTAATGTATATACATTAATAGAAATAAACATTACGTGAATTTCTCGATTTTTTTTAAATTTAATTTTCCCTCATAACCTTATGAGGCATTTCCATGCCCATCCTGCCGGGCATATTGTAGAAGCTGGATAATTAAATTTGCAATCAATGGATTGAGTTGCAGCTCAACAATGTAGATTATTGAGTCTATTGTAAGTCTTTGCTGAGTACAACATGAAGAGATGCAAGGCTTCGTGCTTAATGTGGACCTTTGCCTGCCTTCACCCACCACTGGTAGTGGTTCTGTCCCATCACCCACCACTGGTAGTGGTTCTGGCCCTTCTCCCACCACTGCTAGTGGTTCTGGCCCTTCACCCACCACTGGTAGTGGTTCTGGCCCTTCACCCACCACTGGTAGTGGTTCTGGCCCTTCACCCACCACTGGTAGTGGTTCTGGCCCTTCACCCACCACTGGTAGTGGTCCTGGCCCTTCACCCACCACTGGTAGTGGTCCTGGCCCTTCACCCACCACTGGTAGTGGTTCTGGCCCTTCACCCACCACTGGTAGTGGTTCTGGCCCTTCACCCACCACTGGTAGTGGTTCTGGCCCTTCACCCACCACTGGTAGTGGTTCTGGCCCTTCACCCACCACTGGTAGTGGTTCTGTCCCATCACCCACCGCTGGTAGTGGTTCTGGCCCTTCACCCACCACTGGTAGTGGTTCTGGCCCTTCACCCACCACTGGTAGTGGTCCTGGCCCTTCTCCCAACACTGGTAGTGGTCCTGGCCCTTCACCCACCACTGGTAGTGGTCCTGGCCCTTCACCCACCACTGGTAGTGGTTCTGGCCCTTCACTCACCACTGGTAGTGGTTCTGGCCCTTCTCCCACCACTGGTAGTGGTTCTGGCCCTTCTCCCACCACTGGTAGTGGTTCTGGCCCTTCACCCACCACTGGTAGTGGTTCTGGCCCTTCACCCACCACTGGTAGTGGTCCTGGCCCTTCACCCACCACTGGTAGTGGTCCTGGCCCTTCACCCACCACTGGTAGTGGTTCTGGCCCTTCACCCACCACTGGTAGTGGTCCTGGCCCTTCACCCACCACTGGTAGTGGTCCTGGCCCTTCACCCACCACTGGTAGTGGTCCTGGCCCTTCACCCACCACTGGTAGTGGTTCTGGCCCTTCACCCACCACTGGTAGTGGTTCTGGCCCTTCACCCACCACTGGTAGTGGTTCTGGCCCTTCACCCACCACTGGTAGTGGTCCTGGCCCTTCACCCACCACTGGGTGAAGGGCCAGTGGATACCCAATCACCCCACATGTACACCCCATCACCCCACATGTACACCCCATCACCTCACATGTACACCCCATCACCCCACATGTACACCACCATCACCCCACATGTACACCACCATCACCCCACATGTACACCCCATCACCCCACATGTACACCCCATCACCCCACATGTACACCACCATCACCCCACATATACACCACCATCACCCCACATGTACACCCCATCACCCCACATGTACACCACCATCACCCCACATGTACACCCCATCACCCCACATGTACACCACCATCACCCCACCACATGTACACCCCATCACCCCACATGTACACCACCATCACCCCACATGTACACCACCATCACCCCACATGTACACCACCATCACCACACATGTACACCACCATCACCCCACATGTACACCCCATCACCCCACATGTACACCACCATCACCCCACATGTACACCTCCATCACCCCACATGTACACCACCATCACCCCCCATGTACACCTCCATCACCCCACATGTACACCACCATCACCCCCCATGTACACCACCATCACCCCACATGTACACCACCATCACCCCACATGTACACCCCATCACCCCACATGTACACCACCATCACCCCACATGTACACCACCATCACCCCACATGTACACCCCATCACCCCACATGTACACCACCATCACCCCACATGTACACCACCATCACCCCACATGTACACCACCATCACCCCACATGTACACCACCATCACCCCACATGTACACCACCATCACCCCACATGTACACCACCATCACCCCACATGTACACCACCATCACCCCACATGTACACCACCATCACCCCACATGTACACCACCATCACCCCACATGTACACCACCATCACCCCACATGTACACCACCATCACCCCACATGTACACCACCATCACC